CGGTTTTTTGCAGATTTGTAATTGTTTTTTTTTTAAATATTTCCTTTGTTTAAGTCTTGAAATTTCCACACCATATGTAACTTTTCAATAGCTTTAATTTGACACACAACCCAAACGTCTGGCGTCAAGTATTTCGTCTCAAAACTCAGAAAAACGATTTTGGCTTCAAGCTAAATAAGAATGTTTGTTAGGAGTTATCGTTCCAGTTGTGTGGTGCCACATCTTCGGCAATCGATGGATATACAAAAGATGACGAACGCGTTCGTTCTGATACTTCCGGTAAATTTTGTTGTTTTCGGAGGAGCGAACTGAAGTGTACCGAACTACGTTGATAATACGTTTGTGAATTGGATTGCAATCGGATTATTAGAGCGTACATATTATATAATCGGGGCAAACTTGCCTGCACTGACGGTTTGTCAGGCGCTCTACGTGTCGGAGGTGCACATATCAAAATCAAATCACTGAATCAAATCACATCAAATCAATCAAATAACCTGGAGCCATTGTTGCTCGCACTGGTCGTCATAGATCAGGGTACTATTCACGTGAAAGGCCACATATCAAAACTAAACCTAGCCATTGTGCAGGTATTGAAATTGAACCCAGCCATTGTGCGGGTAATAAAATTGAACCCAGCCATTGTGCTGGTACACTCAAACAAACCAACTCCTGCCAACTTGCAGTTGCAACAATTTAAGACAACTATACTGACGACCTTATAAATACCCAAATATACCTGCCGACTTGCAGGCAGATTTAATACTGACAAATTAGAGAATTTTTATAAAGTCAAGAATTGACATTTGGTTTCTGAGTTCTAGGCCATAAATATGGGTGTGACTATAGAAGTTTATCGTGCCAGGATTGGTTCACATCACAATTTTACACATTGTCGCAACAGTCTGTGTCGTCTTAAAGGTATACTTTGGAATCAATTACTGTTAATGTTTTACTTTAATGTATTCTGCTTGCCTTATCTCAAAAGCCAATTGAATAAGAGCCAAAAAAATAGTGAATTATGCTTATGGTATGTTCAAATGATATACTATAATAATGTTTATGTGCCATTATTACTGAGACTTTCAAATGATGTGGAGGAAAATCCAGGTCCCAGGACTATAAATGATAAAGTTGACCCTGCTTGTACAATCCATGCTGATTTTAATCAAGGTAATGACCTAATGTTTGGTGTGAATGCTGGTAAACAGTGTGTAGCCATGTCACTATATGCAATTGTTTACAATGAAATTAAATCAGTCAATATTTGGGACAAGTCAATCCTAAACACAATTTTAGTAAGTGGAAACAGTTTGTATTGTGTTATTAGCCGAAGTATAAATAAGAGTTATTTATTATTAACTGACGTCCCTGAGTTTGTAGATATAGATAATCATACCTTTAATTTGCAATACAGTGATTCCCTGTCAGGAGCATTACATTTGAGTGAAAATAGTCTCCCATATGTGACTCTTGAGCATGCTTTGAATGAAGTATTTCATTGTTTAAACTATAAAAATTGTTTACTTACAATTGGTATGAACACCGTGGCAATCATGATGCCTTTTCCTGATGTATTTAAAGTGTTTGATTCTCATTCACGAGATATGTATGGTAGACCATCCGCATTGCATTATTGTGTTTTGATATCAGTGGAAGGGATAGAAAATCTTGGAGAGTATTTTCTGTTAACATCAAGGTGCAATGAAGCAAATATTGTTTTGCCATTTGAGTTAAAGGGCGTAAAGTGCATCGATAATAATGATTTAGAGACACTAGTATTGTCTACAGAAGATAATACAAATACAGGAGATATGACAGATACTATTCAGCTACTTGAACAACATAATGTTAACAGAAAGGAAATGAACAATCAAATAATTGGTAATACATTTAGAAAAAGAGTGAGACCAAATGAGTCAACAGAGAAAAAGGAAGCTAGACCTGCAAGAAATAGAAATGCTGAGAAAGTAATAAGACAAAATGAGTCAGCAGAGCAAAAAGGAGATTGACTTGCAAAAGAAAGAAATGCTGAGAAAGTAAGAAGGCAAAATGAGACAGCAGAGCAAAAGGAAGCTAGACTTGCAAAAAAAAGAAATGCTGAGAAAGTAAGAATACAAAATAAGTCAGCAGAGAAAAAGGAAGCTATACTTGCAAAAAATAATAATGTTAAGAAAGCAACAAAAGAAAATGAAACTACTGAGCAAAGAAATGCAAGAATTGCAAAAGATAAAGAAAGAAAGAGAGCTTCTAGAAAAAATACTCGCTCTGTAAAGCAAAACAAAAGTATTGAATCACATTCAGTTCGAAATATTGCAAATGCTGAGAATTGTTACTTGCCTAGTGAAGATATTCATACATTGACACTTGTGAGAAATTTTCATGACTCTGTATCTACAGGACCTTTGTATGTTTGCACTTGCTGTGACCAGTTATGGTATAAACATTCTGTTTCCCTGGCAGACAGAGTAAGAATGCTCAATCCTGATATAACCAAGTATCTACAAAATATAAAAAGTGTTGATAACATTGAATGGCTTTGTCAAACTTGTACCAACCATTTAAAGAAAAGGAAAGTCCCCCCTTGTGCATTTGCTAATGGCATAATATTTCCAGAAAGACCTTCTTTCTTTGATCTAAATGAACTCGAATGTCTTCTTATTGCTCCTCGGTTGGCATTTCAAAAGATTTTTCAGGCCCCAAGAGGTGGCCAACTCAAGATCACTGGTAATGTTGTCAATGTGCCTGCAGATGTAAACAGCACTGTTAATGTGCTGCCCAGACTATCAGATGAGACAGGTACTATTAAAGTTCAACTCAAACGAAGATTACAATATAAAAGCTCTGCACTTTCAATGAATATAAGACCTCGCAAATGGAAGCAACTGCATGGTTAATTAACACTAGTGCTTTGTATCAAGATCAAGGAATTATTATTAACCAAAATTGGTTGAGAAACCTGGAAGAATCTTTGGATGTGACCTGTGATATTGGAAGATCAAATGCTGCAGATGATTTAACAACATTAAACCTCCCTGAAGATGAATGGAGTGAGGATGAAGCAGAAATACCAGCTGGAGTAACTGATAGTATGTTGACTCCTCCAGATTTTGTTAGTGATAGTGAAAGACAGGAAATCTATAATGTTGCACCTGGTGAAGGTAACAGGCCATTGAGTAAATTTAGAGATCAGTATTCTGAAGAAATGGCATATCCAGGAATATTTCTTGGACAAAACAGACCTGATGATAAACAAAGGTTAAGAAGTGTTTACTATAATGACATATGTAAATGAGTTAAGAAGATCTGATCGACGTGCTGCCATGTGTGTTAAAAATATATTCTTCAAAGCTAAGAAGTTACAAATTGCACTCCGAAAAAGCAAAGTAGGTAACAGAATACTTACTGCTGGAGACCTAAAAACTACAGAAAGTTTACAAAGTTTAATAAACCATGATGATGGTTTCAGATTCTTGAAAACACTTAGGGGTTCACCACCTTATTTCGAACGAGCCAAAAAGGACTTGTTTGCCATGATTCGTCAATTAGGACCAGCATCATTATTTTGCAGTTTCTCATCAGCAGAAACAAAATGGAATCATTTATTAAGAATTCTTGGTAAACTTATTGATCACAAGGATTATAGTGATGAAGAATTGAACAATCTTAACTGGGAAGAAAGGTGTCGACTAATACAAAGTGACCCAGTAACCTGTACAAGACATTTTGATTTTCAGTTTAACACTTTCTTAAAAGATGTCTTAATGAGTGAACTTGCTCCATTAGGAAAAATTAAAGATTGGTTTTATAGAGTTGAATACCAACAGCGGGGATCACCTCACATTCATATGTTGATATGGCTTGAGAATGCACCTGTGTTTGGTGTTGATAAAGATGAAGATGTTGTTGCTTATATTGATAGCATAATTACCTGTAGCAAACCAGAAGAAGATACAGAATTACTCGATCTTGTAAATAGACAGACACACAGACATTCTCATACTTGCAGGAAAAAGTCTAAAAATATTTGTAGATTCAACTATCCACAACCACCAATCAGATGTACTCAGATTCTTTATCCACTCGATGGAGATATCTCTTCAACTGTTGCTAAAGCCAGCAAAGAATTGTGGAAAGAGATTAAAACGAAACTAAATGATTTTAAGGAAGGTAAAGACATTACTTTTGATGAATTAGTGCAAGAGTTAGGTGTTTCGGAACAGCAGTATATTCTTGCTATACGATCATCTTTGAATACTCCGACAATCTTCTTAAAAAGAAATCCAAATGAATTAAGGATTAATAATTACAATCCTGTTTGCCTTCGGGCATGGCGAGCAAACATGGACATTCAATATGTCTTAGATGTATATGCCTGTGCAATGTATATTGTATCATATATTTCCAAAGGTCAAAAAGGAATGAGTGAATTACTACGTAAAGTTTGTGCTGAAGCAAAAGAGGGAAATACAAACATCAAAAGCAAGTTCGCGATATCGGGAACAAATTTTTGAATTCTGTTGAAATATGTGCACAAGAAGCAGTGTATATTGTTTTGCAACTTCCAATGCAAAAATCTTCACATAGTGTAATTTTCATTAACACATCTCCTCCTTCTGAAAGAGTCGAATTACTTAAACCATTGAGTGAAATAGAGAAAATGTCTGATGAATCGGAAGAAATTCAGTCTGGTGGTCTTTTAAAAAGATATGTGGAACGACCTGATTGTTTACAAAATGTGACCCTGGCCGATTGGGCAGCATGGTATGACTCTTGTGGTCAAAAAACATATAAGAAAACAAACAAGACTGATGTTGATAATCTTCCATTAGAAAATGATGATGAAGATAATGACGATGAGTTGTTAAATGACGATAAACTTCAGGTTGTAAAAGATCCTGAAAATTTGAAAATAAAGAAAAGATCTCGAGCTAGAGTGATCAGCTAGAGTCTGGTTTAATAAAGAGGCTCAACCTGAAAAACATTATCGAGAGTTAATTATGCTCTTTACTCCTTCGCGGAATGAGCAAACCGATTTGATGGGAAATTATTCTTGTTTTGAAGAGCACTATTTAGCTCGATACGAAGAAATCAGTGAGCAAATGGAACAATATGCTGTTTGTAATGAAGACCTAAATGAAATTGGACATCATTTAGATGAATGTGATGATGATGCTTTTGATACTATAGCACCTGTCACACAAAATGTTGAACGACAAGATCAGGATCAAGGATGTGTTGATACACATCCTGATATAAACGAAACGTTTGATCATCTGGCAGACAATTTGGGCATACCGTCTTCTTTACCAAATAATGAGCCGTTGATTTTAAATGAAATGCAAGATAACGAATATCGAACCTTAGTTCAGCTCCTAAATAAGAAGCAAAGAGAATTCTTCTATCTTGCTCTGCATTTGATAAAAACGTCAGAAAAGCCATTTTACGCATTTCTTAGTGGAAGTGGAGGTGTCGGAAAGTCTCACCTTATTAAATCGATATACCAGGCAGCATTGAAGTATTACAATTCACGAGCAGGGGACGATTTTCATCGTATTCATATATTATTGCTTGCTCCAACAGGAAAAGCTGCATATCTTATAAAAGATAACACGATTCACAGTGCCTTGCGCATTCCAGCCAGTCAATCATTGAAAAATTATAAACCATTGGATTCTGGAAGACTGAATACGATGAGATGCGAACTAAGTTCATTAAAGTTAATATTGCTTGATGAGATATCAATGGTTGGCAACAGCATGTTCACCATTCAATTGAACAACCGTTTGAAAGATTTAAAAGGTAGTAAAGAAGATTTCGGTGGTGTCAGCATAATCACAATAGGTGACTTATTTCAACTCAAACCTGTAATGGATGGTTACATATTTACAGATGTTCAGTCATTAAGTTCTTATGATGTTTTTGCCCCGAACTTATGGAGAAAATATTTTAGAATGTTTGAGCTTGATGAAATCATGCGACAGAGAGAAAGCAAGATTTTTGCAGAGATACTTAATCGACTTCGTGAAGGTAATCATACTCCGAGTGATCTACAAAAACTAAAGGAAAGATGTATTGAAGAGAGTGCTTGTCCCAGAGAAGCCCCACGTTTATTCATTCAAAATGCTTTAGTTGATGAATACAATGATATAGTTTATCAATCATTTGATTGTCATGATAAATACATAATCAGGGCACAAGATAGCGTAATTGGAGCCTGTTCAGCTGAACTGAAAGAAAAGATAATGAGACAAATACCACATGTTCCTTTAAAAAATTCAAAACAGTTGGCTTATAAACTGCATTTTGCTGTCGGACAACGAACAGAAATTGCGGTGAATATACACACTGATGATGGTCTGACAAACAGTGCAAGTAATGTCATTAAGCATGTTCAATTGACTGATAATAGTAAACCTTCTGGCATCGTTTGGGTTCAGTTTGACGACAAAGATGTTAGAAAGAAAACCCGACAAGAAAATAGAATTCTCTATGCTTAAAGTACATCTATACTAAGTACTTGGACACCAATAAAACCTGTTACAACGCAATTTGCTGTAGGTAAAACGAAGTCTGCTCAAGTGGTAAGAAAGCAATTGTACAATCTTATGATCAATACCAATGGCCTCGAGCAACTTATAACTAGTTCTACAACAGATAATGGGACATTGATTGATCATCTGTATACGAATTTGATTGAAGAGGATATCCAGGCAGGTACTCTTGAAACTTACTTTAGTGATCACAAAGCAATTTGGGCCTCTCTAAAGGTAAGGAGGTAATCACATCCAGACATAGCGTAAGCATGTTACAAGAAAAACCATAGTATTCACATGGTAAGATGAACCCAGGTAAGGAGGTAATCACGTCCGACTATAGCATTAGCATGTTACAAGAACAACCATAGTATTGATATGGTTAGATGAACACTGGCCAATATTTATTAGCCTGGCTCCAATTTAACAAAAGGTAAGCTTTTAATTTTGAGGTTTTTTTTTCATTTTCTTTTCTCATGCAATTTGACCATTTCCTGTTATTTTTAGGTTCCGGTGGCATATTTTAAAATTATTCACACGATGTCGAAGCTGAAACACTAATAATTTAAAGGTAAAAAATAGATTTGTATTGCATACTAGCTATATATATGTGTTTGTTTCTTTGATAACGCGAGTTTTTGCTTTTTACAGGTCTGAATCAGCTACAATCACAAAGAAGTCTTAAGTGGCAGTCTCCCTAACAGCGGTCCGTCGAAGTTCGCGTCAGAAAAACAATTTCTCTGAAACTTGGCACGTCAAAAGGGTTTGGTACAGAACTAATAAAAATGGAATAATTTTGTGGAAATTTTTTTTTTCGCTTTCCTAGAAGCTCGAACTTTCTTGTACCAAGCCGGTTCATTTGGTCATCCCTTTAAAGGCCGAAATTTTGCAATATTTTAGGACTGTACCGTATCAAAACTAAACGCGCTGGCAAAGCGTTTTATTCGCCATTTGTTTGATTCATCTTTACTTATAAAAACAAACGAATGTCAAATTCATTGAGTGCTTAGTTGACAAGATGTCAGCCTTGAAAACCACCCCTCTGTGCAGGTTGCGGAAGTCACTAAATTATAACAAAGTTCGGGCGCAAAATTCGTGTTTGTTTGACCAAAATTGAAATAAAAAATTGCATCCATATGCAGATGATAACTTTATCTCCAAGGTTCTAAAGTCAAACCTTCGGGTATGCCGCTGTGTGCAAAGCAGCGAGAATGTCATTTGGTCAAGTTTGCGCTTTGTATACATAAAATAACACTTCGTAATCTGCACTGAAATTCATCAATTGCTCGCCTATAAAAACTGCTCCCGGCTCGAATTATTCCAAGAATTATTCCTTAAATTCACCTAAACAAAGATACATGAATGATCTACGCAAGTTTATATGGAAATATATTTAGAATATTGCGACAAAACCAAATTTTAGCTAGCTGTAGAGCTGTTCTGCAGAGGAAACCCCGCACAGTCATAAGGGTGCCGCTAGACAGGAAGAGCAAAATGAATTATACTTTTTGATCTCTTTCATGTTGGTTGAATAAACTCTGAATATTTAGTATAGATACCAAAATAATACATGGGAAATGCGATCCCATATTCTCTTGCATAGAACCGCAGGGTAAAATTGGTTTGCGTATTAAAGCCGCCATTCTTTATTAAAAAAATAACACCTAAAAAATATCCAAAAGACCTAAATTCTGAAATAAAAAAACTATCGGCTATATACAGTTAACTAACTTCATCAAGCAAACAGTAACAGCCAGAAATAACTTCTAGCAGTGTTAAAGGATTTGTAACGTGAGATCGTTGAGGTTTTAAAGGGAAGCGTTGCGTGACTGACGCTATAAGAAACAGTTGCTGGGAGGCTAGTCTGAACCCTGTTGTCCTTGTTTGCCTCACCGCTTGCCTGATATATTTCACCACTCTGCGCTTTTTTTGTCTAGAAGTGCTCTACAGGTGGTCAACAATTCGACATAGGTTGGCTGCTTATGTCATAGAAAAATTTCCTAAAAAAGTAACCATTCCTTTAAAAAGGTTGGCAATAGCTCTCTCGGTTCTTTCTACGAGATCGTTGAGGTTTTAAAGGGAAGCGTTGCGTGACTGACGCTATAAGAAACAGTTGCTGGGAGGCTAGTCTGAATCCCGTTGTCCTTGTTTGCCTCACCGCTCGCCTGATATATTTGACCACTCTGCGCTTTTTTTGTCTAGAAGTGCTCTACAGGTGGTCAACAATTCGACATAGGTTGGCTGCTTATGTCGTAGAAAAATTTCCTAAAAAAGCAACCGTCCCTTTAAAAAGGTTGGCAATAGCTCTCTCGCTTCTTTCTACGAGCTGTACGCCCTAAACCACACATGTCCAAATTATACTTGGTCGTATGTATTTTATGTCGTACGATGAATGATTAATTCACTATTCATATCTTTTTCTTTACTATACATATTATTTTATACAGTACGTATTTTAGGCGTGGCCATTTGTATCAGCGCGTAGCGCTAGATACTATGCTATCGAGTTGTGTGTGTGTTAAACACTCAGGTCGACTAATTAGAGCTGTACGCCTGCGAATAGGCAGTAAAACAAATATGGCGGCTTTCTCGCAGATGCATGTACGCCAAGCGTACCTATTTTTTATAGGGTGGCTGTATTGTATGTGAAATATTGGGCTCTGCAGTAATCTTCCCCAGAAACTAAGAAAATAAAAAATGCCACGCATGCGCAGGATGCAGTTTTGCCATTCTCAAGCCCAGAGCTTTCCCGCTCCTCAGTCCCCCCGGGGAGCCTCCGGTAACAGCCATTTGAGGACCTTTGTTGATTGACTGATACGGCGCGCATGCGTAACATAAAATGAGCTCCAAAAGCTGATCTAACTAAATAACACCAAGATTTGTTTGTTAGTTGTCATTTCAAATTTTTCTTCTACGCATGCGTCAGGAGCGGGGAGGGGGGTGCTGGGTTCGAGAATAGAGTATTACATATGTTACACAAAGCTCATCAGGGGTCACACAGAGACGTTGAATTTACTGCCTGGACTGTTCTTGGGTTGTCAACTATCGTAGTCAAAGATGTAACAGTAAACAGGTAGGGGAAATTGAACACACTATAAACTACGTGAATTTTGATCTACATGCTTATTTTCAACAGCGGCATTCCTTCACCATATTGTTGATGTGACCAATTAAAGTGGATTTTCTGTCTCCAGATTTGCGTGGCAGCTCGAAATAATCACATACGGCTGCTAAGCTGCTTTACAGTAAATTGCATCAATGCCCCTGCCTTAGACACACTGCAAATATCATGCTCTTCATATTGGATGGGATGCTTCAATGCTATTTGGGAAAGAACTTAATGTACTTCTTCCTCCCTATTCTTCTCCTCCAGTCTCGCCAGCTCTTCCTGAAGCAACTCCTTGTCTCCTTCGTCTGCAGGATATGCCCTAACGGAACTCTCACCCGTCGTTCTCTTTCTCTGCGCGGCGGCTAGGCGGGAGAAAAACCCTTCGATCTGGACCTTCGTGAGCCACTCCTCTCGTGAAAATGCCCGCTGCCCGTCTGCAGTCTTGACATTCCTTATGTCCACTGACACCTGGGCTAGATCTGCCTTCCTTCCTGTTCGCACGCCGACATCAAAACAGGACTGAAGATATTGTTTAACGCGTTCAGAAAATTGGGTCCCACTACCTCTGGGTTTCTGTAAGGCCCATCCGGCCTTGAGGGGTTCCGATACAGTTGTCACGTCGCTTGACGCGGAGGGCTGATGCAGGGCTTCCTCGTTAACGGTCATGCTAGAAAACTTCAGCACCCACTCACGATGCAGCTTGTCATACGTGCTCTCTTGGCTTTTGCTGACAGGGATATGATGGCCAAAGTTGACATGATCCTGGAAGGCATCATAGGAGTCGAACGACTGGGAACAGTCTGCCTCGTTGGACTCAACCAGAGCCGCCTCAGGGTCCGCCTCCTTTTGTAACTGGACGACGCGAGGCTGCACGTCCCAGAAATCCAGGTCCTCGTAGACAGGCTTGGCAGAGAGGTTCCCGGCCGGAACTTGTACATGCAGTGTACTCCAAGACAATAGCTGACCTGACCCAACTTCAAAGGCTTTCCACACTTGCAGCCCATTCTTTTCGTACGAAAAGTTGTGGAAGCTGCTAAAGTTTAGAATCTTGTTGGCCTTTATCTCTTTTACAGCCGGATCAACTTCGCATACAGCGGCTGTACAACCGTTAACTGGCCGCGCCTTGAGAGCTGCGAACATGTCAGCTGCAGTCAGAACTTCGTAGCCTTCGTTGCAGTACTGCCTTATCATGCCCTTCAGGGGACTGATGATTCGGTCGCACACGTCTTTGCCAAATTGTGGTTCGGAAAAGTCGTACCTTTAAAAGAGAGCTTATTTTTTTATTTATAATTCAGGATCTCACTTTACTCGTATACATTTCATTCATTCACCACTTATTCATTATTCATAACTTATTCATTTAATTGATTATTCATTGAATTAATGATTAATAAAAAAAGTTAATGGTTAATGATTATTAAGAAGGGGCTGAAATAAATGAGGAAGCAATTAGTGATGGGAGGGGAGGGGAGGAGTGGGCAAAAAGCAAAACAAATATACGTGCAAGCAAAACTGAAAGAAAAAATATTTGAGGGAATGCAGAGCCAAGAAAGAACCATGAACCGCTAGAAAAATTCGTCCAGAGTTAGGGCATCCGAAAAAACATTCGAGCGAGACAGAAAAGTCCCCTCCTCCTCCTACGCTTTTGTAATGGTCCATTCCTTAGATTAATTAATTTAAGACGTTAGTAATTAATTATAATTACGGGAGAGTTGAAATAAAATAAGGAAGCAAACACAACTTAATTACTTAATTAATTAGTTAATTAAATTAATTGCTTCCTAGCTTATTTATTTCAACTCCCCCATACTCTTGTAGCCTTTATGCGTGCCTCATCACTTTGACACCAGTATGG